AGACGTCCGTACGTACACAAGTAAACAAAAACAAAAAAAAATACCTGACTCTACTTTATTTGCTACTCTTCTCCAGCTAAGTGTAGTAAGACACCACGAGAAAACGAATGAATTGTTGTAGAACTACTAAATAAGTCAATAATTTTTGTAAAGTCCAATTTTACTTGTAGATACAGTCAATATCGGTGGAATATATAGAGTAGGATTTTAGATGAAAGTTTGTATTAGGTCGTTACTTTGGTTGGTTGTAAGTAAGTCAAAACTTCCATATTACCCTCTTCATTTACGATTCTGTATTAAGTAAATAAAACAACTGCGATTTGTTAGTAATGGAGTTAACTATCATTAGTAACCTTAGTGGTGGCGGGGTGCTGAGGTTGTGGAACATTCACCTATATAATTTTCTAAGCCTGTTTAGAGTTCGTCAATTGTTAGTATGTCTGCTCCCACTTTTCTCCAGAGGTCGTGTCCGTCACTCTTATTTCCGTAAAAAACTGTAATTTCGTCCAATAGTACAGTGTCATCTCCGTGTTCTATTTTTATACTTGACCTAATCGTATTTTATAAAGGAATTTTACATTCAACATTGTATTACTACGAACTACAATCCCAAAAGGAACTCGAGGGGAAGTCTCAAAGACAATCTTAAAAGTGAAAACAATACATAACCTCGAAATTTTGTTTAATTATCTTAAGGCTCTATTTGTTTGATTAAATATCTAATGTAATAAGTTTTCACATGTCACTGAATATTGTACCCTTATTATTTGCCTCGCGAGAGGACAAGGACTGTCGGCAGGCCCATAGTACCGTCGAGCGCTAGGTCATTACCACGGGCTGTCATGTTTACTTGTATTATATGATCAAATCCATCAAACTTCTCCATTAATTTTATCGGATGCACACTATAAAATTGGAACTCACACAAAACTAGGCGAGTGCGGCGATGGTCACTAATGCGTATCGAACCGCACAGCTGAGCAGTCGTCGTCGACTAGAGAGAGAGGGGGCAGTCATAATCTGAAGTGGGCGCAAATACAGGGTAATAGCTAGTCATAGATCGTTCAGAAGATCGATTACTACTGATGGACGAATAATTTGTGGATTTGTTATTGGAAGCGATACGTTGGCCCACTCCGACCGTTTCAGGGAGTGGGCGCGGGGGAATACGGGAAACAGAATGGTACGGGGTCGTTGGCCTTTGGCTCCGTAATGGGGGTGGGGTTGTCTATGGGCGTGTTAGTTGGGTATGAAAGCGTGATTTACAATCTTAATCTTAACTGAAAGAGCAGACAGTGTATGATAAGGCCAGCCTAGTGTATTCGGGCCATTAATGGCCGAATTACCTTTTGAGACGAGGGAATAAACATAAAGAGTTTGTGTGTTTAATGTTAATAGGAAACGATAAGGTTACTACGTCGTATTGAGGTATTTATATGAGACACTGATTAGTCACCGTCACTGCTATACCCGTTTGTGAACTAAGTTATCCTGTCTGACGTTTTGACGAATGTCGGACTGGTGCGTTCGATTTCGAGTTCTTATACACAGTTGTTCCCGTCGACTAGTTTGATATTCACGTCTAAACTCCGGTTAGAAAAACAACTATAAACTAAAGCTTACCCCCCCCCCCCCCCCCCCCCAAAAAACAGAATTTATACGTCCTGTGTTTGTAAAAACTATTCCCTGGGGAAAATTTGACATCCGGGTTGTCACGGCCTGACCCTGTTAGTGGCAGTCCGGCCCTTAATATGTGGGTCGGTCCGGTGATGTCAAAAAAAAACACGGTAAAAGGACCTAAATAAACAGTATAAATGATCGCAACGACGGGTATCACTATCCGGGTATTTTGAGTTCCGGGTAACGCATGACATCATGCGGTACCCGGAAGAATCAATGGACAGTGACGTATCTCCAACGAGGCGTTTTGGGGAGGTATTTTCTGTGTTAGAGTTTTACTCGCTAAAGGGTGTACTTTGAGGGTTTTGACTCTGCAGACCGTTTACATGCATAAAAACCTTCATAACACACAAGGGGACGGGTAATAACCAGAAAAGCATGACATGGGACCTTTACATTTTACTTTGCATGGTCGTGTGTTTGCTATTTAGTATTAAAGATATTCTGGGTACCACAAGTCTCATGGCAAACAATTTTCATCTTCACGATTTATTACATTTAAAAAAAGAGTCCCGTTTCTTACCCAGCATTCCACCAGCCACCAGGATGTCGAACAGAGTCTCAGCATAGCGTCGGTAGTCGAGCTTGGCACCAGAGGCATCGAGGAACTTTGCGACGGCTTCCAAATCAGTGCCAGATTGGTTCAGACCTTGTACTATGCTCTCCTGAAAGTGAGTAGGGTCAAATCTCTCCTTTTCATCTGTGGAAAAAGAGACATTGAATAAAGCTGATCAAATCATTTCTACAAGACGTGTCGAAAGCCATATCTAAAGTCACATTTGATCTCGCTTGCATAAGGCATTTAAGTTAGATCTTCAAGTATATAGGGAGATTTTACACAGTTTTTGGTACAGACACTTTGGTTTAGAATACAAAGTGCCAATTTAAAATATACTTTATATCTAGTCAGTGAACAGATGACTGACTTTCAGTAAATACAATCACATTTATGTGTATGTGATTTTAAGTAGTTAAAGTACCTATTTGTTCGATAAAATTACCACCAAAAAAATCCAGAACAAAGTCAAGCTGGCTATAATCAGAGTGTGCATAAAAGTGTGATCCTTTAAACTTTCTCACCTCTTTTGCGGGTCTTGAAACGCTGGCCTGTTAGCGTAGGCTTCTGCTGCCTTTGATTACTCATAAAAGACACTCTAGGAGACACATAGGGAAAATAAAACAAGATTAGGACATAAAATACAATTTATTTCAAATTCGATTGATCTACGGTGCATTGAAAAGGGATGCATGGCGATGCACGTGGCTGAAATTAACTAGTCCAGTTATCCCCAACGGGTTTTAACATAGTGCGACACAACATTAAAACGTGAGGGTCGTTTTAAATGGCCGTTGATCCAAAGAGAATTGTAATGGGAACAAACAATGGGACAACATTGTCGTTTTTAAAGTGGATGTAACGATCACACATATATGCAATGAAAAACAAGCTAGCAGTTAGCCATCGTTTTTACTTCATGGTCTGACATATTTTAAAGGGCCATGTAGTGATGTTAAGTTGCTTGTCTTAAATAAAAACACCATAGTAACTCGGCATCGATACTACAGCAACACGATTCGCCGTGTGTCTACCATTGTTTAAGGTTGTGATGCGAATCGGTCAAACCACGTGGTATTTGGCGTTAACATTACACATTACGTAAATATTGGTTTAGCATGGTCTGGAAATAAAGCGAAAACTGTGGTAATACCGAATTGAATACGTTAAAGCCACGGATGCCTGGCTTCAGACAACACCGGATACCGCTAAGCTAGGTTAGCTAACAAGAGTCGGCATGACGCAGTGCCTTAATAAGCTTAAATGTACGACCGTCAACACATTAACATCTTGTTAAGCAAAATACATACATAAACTCACCGAAATCCTCTAAATGAGCAAAAACAGACCGTGAAATAAAAGAATAATATAACTGGACTCCAATAACGTTACTATCAGTTCCAGGGAAGAGGAAATTGTGGACGTAACAGCACATGCGCATTAAAACGGAGTCTACGTGGGTCATTCCACTGGTGTGGGGGTGTGTAAAGTTCACATACTGTAAAAGAATAGATAAAATGCGGTTGTAATGAAATAACTACGACCAATTAGGTGGGAAATAAAGTAGTTAATGCGATATGGTTGATTTTACTCTTTTTGTATAATCTAAAATGGAGTATGGTAACACGTATCAGTGTATACACCCCCTCTACATTTAGAAAGGATATTATTTAAGAGTCAATGAATGGGAGACAGTTTCATCTCCCCCCAAAACTTAAAATGGGTTTTTATGGCTGCATTATTTTCTTCATCGACCATCTGTTGACCCACCAAACTGACCTAAAGTTAATATCAATAAATAATGGGCCAACAAGTCGTTGCTATCTAGCATTAAGACACAGGAGGGAGGTGTTGGGCTGTCGGGTGGATGGAGTAGCTGTCTACGGGATGAACGGAAACTTTAATGTTGCGTTAACATTCACCTCGTACATCTTGGTTGTAATTCCAATAACTGCATTAACATGTTTGGTTAATTCAATAATTCCTAACAAACATTTAAATGTTAGCCCTATAATTGATATTATGCCAAAAGCTAGTGAACATACTTAAATGCCTTCGTCAGGCATGACTGTATAAGAACTATGCATAACTACACCATCAGTTCACTCATCCAAAGTAAAACCCATCATCTCAGTGCTTCCGTCTAAAAGTAATTTTAAAGTGTCACCTTTTATTAGAAAACCTTTTTTGATCACAGTCTATGGTTTTGATATAGCAGTTAAACAGATACACAGCAGTTGTGCAATGTAATAAAGAAGCCTACAAGTCTTACATTTATGTAGGCCTACTTTAATCAAGTTGTTCATTCTACTTTATACCCCTCTTCTACTACATTTTGCATGCCAATATTTAACTTGTTTACTCATTTACATTTATCTGACAGCCTCAGTTACTTTACATATTTAGATTATTAGCTAATACAAAAATGTACATCGACTTACAAATAAATATTTAGGCTACATATAAGTGTAGGTTATCATATCCGGCAGCAGTGTCATTCAAATTAGCTCCACTTTTACCAGCTGTGATAGACACATCAATAATCACAATCCCGTAAACCATCATCCTTTACGAGTACTTTTGTACTTTTTCGAAGGTCAGATTTGTAATTCATGACTGCTATTTATAAGAGAGAATGTTTCCAATTAATTACTGCTACTTTTACTCACAGTAAGTAGTTTACTTCTTCCACTGAAGATAAATTGTGGAAAAAAATAAAATAAACACCAATATTTCCGACAGTATGTGAACGCGTCACCATCCCACCTCCCCCTGCGCTGGAGGTGATTAGGGACGCCGGACTAGCCCAGAGACGCCGCTTCAGCCACTCCCTACGCCAGGCAGACTGCACGCTCAAGCCCATCCAGAGCTTCATTCATAGTGCTGAGATCCGGATGAGAGCCACGTTCAGCCTCATCCACCACAGCGGACCCGAGTTCCACTAAAGGCACGCCGGGAAGGGTTTCAGGAGCCACTCCACACTGGGCGAATCACTTCTGGGATCCTACTTTTGCCCGCCGAGTGGATTTAGCACGAGAGGGAGCAACTCTTGCAGAGATAAAGAGGCAAGTTTGACATCTTCTCTTACTTATCGTTTAAGTGTTGTAAAATGTAACACTACTTACTTATCGTTTGGGTCATATTCTTGACATTGTTCAAACTTTGTATTCTTCAAAGTTAACTTTGCATTGTCTTCAGACCGTATGCTCCCCAAGACCCCAACTCATTCATTCCTCCTCACTTCGTGCAGGAGGGGGTTGGGATTTTTTGTTTATCTTTCTTTTTGTTTGTGAACGGTTTGTAATAGTTGGAGGATAACCCTAGTAAGATAAAGTGTGTCAGAGTTTAGTTTCGCAGTTTAAATTTTTTTTTTTGATCCAAACCAAGGCTCATTTAAGCAATGCAAATGTAAAGTGTGGTCGCTAATTGCATACATCTGCGGGTTTAAGCACCATTTTTGTCACTCAAGAGTCAAACCCGTGGAGACCCCTGACACAAGGACAGTAGCAGACACACGCAAGTTTAGTCTTATCCGGTCTTATCAAATGGCAATATGATAAAGTAAGGCTGCATAACTGGAAATAATCTTATCCTCACAAAAGTGAACAGAAAGCACTTTTCTAATTTTAAAGACATGCACCAACAGTAAACTTAGACACCCATGTTGGGATCTTTACAAGTAAAACCATGTAGACCTACCCTATATGATCTGTGGATACACTTGCAGGATAAAAAAAGGTATTTAAACTGACTGAAGGTGGTTTCAACATCTTCTTAATAGTTTTCAGAAATGTTAATGCAGCTGAATGGAATAAATTACTGCTCAGCATGAATACAGCTATTCACCTCTGAGAAATATCCCAAAAGTTCCTTCTTGTAGGAGTCGTCCTGCATGCTTTCTTTCTTTCTTTCTGCCGGGATCCCCTGTGGGAACTTGTAAAATCAAAGGAGGAGAGGAATGCCTTGATGGGAAGAGAGACGGTTCTAGATGTAGGAAAAAGCTACATCGCACTACATTATTAAACTCTGGTATTGGATGAGAATAGATGGTTATACCAAAGGAGAAATGCTGCTGTAAAATCCCAATGGAAGGGTTTTGAATGTGTCTGCATTTTGTAATTGGAAACAGCAACTGTGTTCACAATGACTCAAGGTCTTCAGAAACTGCTGATTGTACTCAGACTAAACACAAGTTTACTTTGACTTTAGACTGAAACAGTGTAGTCCAAACTTTTCCATAATTTCCACTCTAAAAATAGCAGTTAAGTATTGAGCCATAACCGATTTGAAAACATGGATTCAGTGGAAAATGTTCAAGCTTGTCATTTGATGGAAGATTGCTTCCATGCTTGGCACTTTTGTTTTTCAACTCCTAATTCCAATCGTGAACTTCAAATCCCAAGAGGATCAGACCGCCTTTTTTCTTTTTTTTAAAGCACTCATTCGTGTTCTTCAAACATGTCCCGCCTCTGTTGGCCACAGAGTCTCAGTTGGGAAGCCAGATGGAAACTTTATTGCCCGGCCGCGCTGATCAAACAAACAGTGATGTAAGATGACTATGAAAGGTACAGCGCTGTGGTAAGCCTTCTGAATTGCACAGACTCTCCTGGAAAAAAGTAACAACCGTTTAGCTCAGACTTGGAAGACGTCAGAGCTTCTACAGTAGCTCTCCTCAGGGTGAGCTTGTTGGCTGGTGTTCTTTAAAAAGTTACACCAAGTTTCTTTTAATGTGCCAAATGCCTATTTTTGTTGGATGTAGAGGTATAATGTGGTGTTTGTACAAGACCAAAGTCCCTCTGCCAGTGCCGTGGTGATGAATAGTGTTTGCACTTGTCTGCCCGTGCAGCTTAGCGTAGTGAGGCGTGTGTCTTGTGTTGGCCCTGCATCAACAGAGGAGGTGCCCCCCCGCCCCCCCCATTTTCTGGAACATGAAAAGCCTTCTGCAGCCTCTGTTAACGCAGGAAGCATCCATAGTCCTGTGAATGATTAGTAGTTTTTAGTTGCATCTCCAATTTAGTGCCTTATCACTAGGGCTGCACACATAATCAAAATGTTGTCGAAATCACAATATGGACAAGTGCAGTATCCAAATATGTACATTACAAATATTGCATGTGTGTTAATGGAGTATTGTGATGCTGCAGAGAATTTCCTGCCTACAGATGGTATTCTACAGTCTTAATGAAAATGTTTTTTTGTGGTACAGATCCTCTTAAAAACTATGATAATTTAAAGGTTTTTTCAATGGAAATGTAATACAAAAGATAATTCCTCCATCGCAAGTAATATTGCAATATCGGTCAAAATAATGTATTGTTGTCCCGATCGTCCAGCCCCTACTCATCACCTTAGCTTTTTTCTTCTAGTAAATGCTACTTTTGGAGTTCAAAGGGTTCTAACTCGCATATTGTCGTTAATGTCTTCCCCATTAAACTTCCCCCTGTGCTGTATGACTCCACATTTTCCACACATTAAACTCTACGTCTTTATTCTCCCAGTGCAGCTAGAGTAATAACCCTTTACATTATAATTCAGCTCACTGTTGCTATGTTAAGTCCACTACAGCTGGTTTCTCCATTCATAAACCGAGCCAGACCAAGCGTTGCCTGTTGTGCCGGAGTCGCCAAAGCTGCTAATGCACAGCAGTCTGGGGAACGTTTCAGTGTAGTCATGTACTGTAATGGAGTGAACATTTTTAATCTTGCAGGGTTCTCCTGTGTGTGTTTATTTGATAGCTGATAGGCCACTTCAGAGCTATTGTTACTCCAACAGCTTGCACCCTGAGGATCTGAAAGAGGACTGTGCAACATACTAATTGTTTTTAGATAAAACACCACCATATCTCTCTTTTTAGAGCCTTACGAGTGGACTGTGTGCATAGATAATAGCATCATGGCATTTCACAAGATATGGTTGAACGACATTGCCATCTGCAAGTGTGAAAAAGTACGAAGGTAACTATCCAGTGCATGACATTAAGGATTTTGTGAGATGGCCCTGTGGGCCATCTAAGCTAATTTACAGATGGCCCTGAGCCCAATAGAGATTGCCCTGAAAAATGCGCGCGGACGAAATGACGCACGAAGGGTTTGGGGGGCCTCCCCTTAGAACATTTAGATTTTTGCAGGTCTTAGATGCTGTCTGGTGCATTCTATAGACTGAATTATAAGATGAACCACCTCAATATTACAATTTCAATTGTATTCTTCATTTCACTTGTTTGTGTTTGCTCGCTTGCATGCCCTGCATAGCTATAATAAATACTTAAGTTGTTGGTCAATACACTTTCCATCTGATGAAGGCAAATGCCTTCCCAGATGTAAAAAAGTAGAAAACATTACATGCAGTTATAACTGCCAAAACAAACATTATTTACGCTATTATGGCCCCTGTTAAAAATGTTTGTAATGTGTCTACTGTAAGTTAGTCGAAGGAATGCCTCCTCATCCAGAAGCTGACCGAGCAGACCCGAGCAGCCGAGTGCATCCGAGAAGCACACACAATGGCGACGTCAGAGTTCCCGTTAGCAAGCAAATCTAAATCTCTTCGGTCAAAATGTCCGGTCAAAATAATTTCCCTTTAGCGCAATACCGCTTCAGTTGCGCCAGTTATGTGACAGACAAGAAGAGTATGTGACAGACAAGAATAGTCAATTCTAATGTCTAACACTTAATGTGGAGAAAGAGATGTGCTGTATGGGTTGATTTTGCGTTGATCTGTTGCTAATGCCTCGGGGTTCCGGTGGGCATGTAAACAAATGCATAAAGCTGCGCTATACTTTGTGGCCTCACCCAGTTGCATAGCGACACTTATTGTTTAGGTCACGGTGTCTTTTAATAAGCAGGTAGTCATATCATTAGCTAAAACTAGCTGGATCTGATCGATATGGACATAAACGCGAGTGAAGTCTAATCTGACGGGAGAGAGAGATCAGCTGCTGCTGACGAGTCGACACGCAGCTCTGCATGATCACATGCAGCGGTGAGTGGAACAAAACACACACTTCAGGTTAGAATATCACACGTAGCTATTTTAATTACCTCTCAAACTACCTAAACTAGTTATAGATATGTTTAGTTTTACTGTCGGGTCACTCATTACTGGATCCGCGAGCTGCATGATACTGGTATAATAGATTGCCCGATCGGGCAACCAGCAGGTGAGGCTTCATGGCCCGAGCTAAATACTAGATGGCCCCGGGCCATCGGGCAGTCCTTAATGTCGAGCCCCCTGTTTCATGATGCAGTTGAAATCAGTGCTGAAGACTTATAACTTTTACCTGGTCTATGTATTATGTATGAATCACTCTTGTGTTTTGCAATGTGTTTATACAACAAAGGCTAATGCATATTATGGACAATTTAGCACACTCATGACCCATTGCATATAAAGAGAAGGGGGTAAATGACAAATAATATCTGCTCCATTTGGATGAATTCAATAAATGGTGAATATTTTCCCATCAATATTTATATATTTCTGAGAATGTAGAGCCAAAAAGTCCAAAATGGAGGAAGCTAGCTTAGTAGCTATGTTGTGCGCTCTCCAGTTTAATGTGTTTAACCTCCACTGTGGGAGTGTAAACTCCCCAAAAGAGCAATTGTTTGTAGACAGTTATAGACAGGATGTGATCAGGCCTTTTTCAAGAATATATTGAACGCCCACCTCCTCAGAGAAAAAAAACAGACAATAAAAGCCCATATCATGCAGCATTAGCAGTAGAAAAGAGGAGGGGGAAATTACAAATATTAAGATTAACATTCGAACTCAAGTCTTGCATCGATTTTCAACTTTGGCAAATAGAAGCCAAAGAGCTCAAAAAGGAGGAACCTTATCGTAGTTGCTGTGTTGCGCAATCTAGTATCCACGTTTATTTTTACCTTGGTTTTTGTTTACTGGAAGTTATTATTCAAAGTCCAACTGAGCCCATTATAAATCTAATAATTGAGAAGCACAGACAAAAAACCCCACATGCAGAAACCTCTAACATTACTGGAACTGTTCTGACTTAAGCTCATAGAAAGAAGCTGACGGAAAATGTTCGGGGCTTGAAGGCCAACCCATC